TTCAGGACCCCGGAAAGCTGAGTATGACAGTTACAAATTACTTCTAAAATGTTAGCAAATAGGAAGGTACACTGCCTAATAACAAAACAAATATTTGTTTTAAGTTTGAGAGTGATCGGAGGAGGCATTCTCAAGTTATCATAGAATATTTACCCTTTGAGCATTGCTACCAAAATATCACAGAAAACGTATCAGTCACAAAAAACGGACCACAGTCGCAGAAAATGAGCGACAGTCCTAAAAAGAAAAAAGGGCGAACCACCCAGAGAAAATGAATAGCTGCCTGGCTAATGAATAAGGTTCATCGTTAATCACATGAGGCCCCATTAAGTGATTCGCCAAGGTATTTGTACCCAGCATGTGCCGTGCCGCTGCCTGACAATGAGCTTATTATTCATTTTCTTGGCGACGACTCGACTAAATTATTATTATTATTATAATAAAAAAGAAGCGCTAAGCCACAAGGGCTATACAGCGCTGCAGGGCAGGGAAGGAAGCGAGGGTATTGGGCGGCAGAAGGGGGGAGGGATGATCAGTAGGTTACAGAAAACAGCGGAGCAGGGGATAGTGCGGGGGTAGAGGGTAGCAAGAGATTGAGGTAGAAAGGGCTGAAGGCATCAGAGTTTGTGAAGTAAGTCAGTTGTTGTCAAAAAGTCAATGAGAGAGTCTGGATGAAAGGTGGGTCCATCAGCGAGAAGGGAAGGTAAAGAGAGAGCAGCGGAGCGACGACGACGAAGGAAGTAAATTCTGCGTGCTCGTTGATAAAGTGGGGAGTCTAACAGAATGTGGCTGACTGATAATGGAACCTGACAATTCTCAGAGAGAGGAGCAGGGTGCCTCTCCACGAGATATCCATGAGTAAGACGAGTATGGCCAATGCGAAGACGGGAGAGAGTAGTCTCCCAACCTCGACACTGGTGACAAGAAGACGGCCAGTAACCTATACTCGGTTTAATAGATTGAAGTTTGTTACCGAGCATAGTAGACCAACGTTGTTGCCAACGGGTGTGAAGGTGGGTAGCTATTGCAGCAAAATAGTCCGTAAATGGAACGCCTCTATATGAAACTGGTAGGTCATGTACTGCTGACCGCGCAGCAGTGTCTGCCTGTTCATTGCCCTGTACGTCAACATGACCAGGAACCCAAAAAAAACAATATCTTTATGCTTGGTAAAGATGCGGCGTAGCCAAAGTTGGATACGGAGGACTAAGGGGTGAGGTATATCAAATTTCTGTATAGCCTGTAAAGCACTAAGGGAGTCTGAGACAACCACAAATGATGACACAGGCATAGATGCAATACGGATAAGTGCTGCAAGAATGGCATACAATTCAGCAGTAAAAATACTCGACTAAAAATCCCTCGTATAATGCTTATATATTTCTTAAATAATTATTCCTGGTATTAGCAAGTGTATGCGTAAAAATACCAGACAAGACGCCTTGAAACACACTAAAAGTGTCATAAGTAAGCACAGCTGCTTCCCACCGCAGCTTTAATAGTGAGTTTGCTCCACACTGAATATCACCAGCACAAACACTATTTTCCTCGCTCTTAATACACAGAGCTGAAACATGCAATTTTTTTTCGTGTTATATACAAAAAATAGAGAAAGAAGTTCATTTAATCAGTCTCGTAAACCAAACATTGCGGCGGGGAATTTATTTTCCCGCCAGATGAAGGCGGGGAATTTATTTTCCCGCCAGATGAAGGCGGGGAATTTATTTTCCCGCCAGATGAAGGCGGGGAATTTATTTTCCCGCCAGATGAAGGCGGGGAATTTATTTTCCCGCCAGATGAAGGCGGGGAATTTATTTTCCCGCCAGATGAAGGCGGGGAATTTATTTCCCCGCCAGATGAAGGCGAGGAATTTATTTCCCCGCCAGATGAAGGCGGGAATTTATTTTTCCCTCCAGATGAAGGCGGGGAATTTATTTTCCTGCCAGATGAAGGCGGGGAATTTATTTTCCCGCCAGATGAAGGCGGGGAATTTATTTTCCCGCCAGATGAAGGCGGGGAATTTATTTTCCCGCCAGATGAAGGCGGGGAATTTATTTTCCCGCCAGATGAAGGCGGGGAAGTTTTTTCCCGCCAGATGAAGGCGGGGAAATTGAACCAGGTTAAGGAAGAGCTGGCAAACACTCGCTGGTGATAGCAAGATAAAACAGCCTTGGCTTTAAAATTCCTGTGTTATATTAGCCAAGCAAGCAAAAATTAAAGCATTATGCGTCCACGTGTGCAATTTACAACTTTTATTGTGCAACATTTTATTTCGGGGGTTTAAAAGACAGAGCGAGCGGCGTTTGAGCTTCGCCTGGCGAAAAAAATTCAATGTGACGGGCAGATGTGACGTCTCCGGGTGGGTGGGTGGCAGGCGATGGGTGGAGGGTAGCAGGCAGTGGGTGGCAGGAGGTTAAGTGATGGGTGGTAGGTGGAGGTTGTTAGGTGATAGGTGGAGGTTGTTAGGTGATGACGGGTGGCAGGTGAAAGTTGCCAGGTGGCAGGCCGCAAATATTCACCTATTTTTGTTTGGTTGGGAGAAAACTCCTGACCACTAAATCCTCCTTGACCAGCACTACTAGGTTCTAACTTCACGAGCCTTATCGTGAAACTGTGTATGGAGTCTTCCTCCACCACCCTGTTTTAGCTGATTTCCCTTTCACCTTGAGACTAAAGAAATACTTCCTATTATAATTATTTCCCTAACCTGGCTTTTCCTTTACCCAGGTCCCTGTCTCTCAGTCCCTTTCTACTCTATCAATTCTTTTTAAAACTACGTACCTCTTGATTATACCTTCCTTGTTCCTCCTCTTCTCCACGCTAGGTTCAATTAACTTTATTCTGGTTCTGGAACTATAGTCTCACTGAAGGTCTGTGATCCTTGATAATGTCACTGAAGGTCTGCGATCCTTGATAGTGTCACTAAAGGCCTGTGATCCTTGGTAATTAAATTTGACGTAGAACTCAACTTTCAAATGAAACTGTTTCAAAATATTGTACAATAGTTAGAAAGCCCATAGAATGCACAGCATTTCGGGCAAACTTCGATTAGTATTAAGACTACATAGTTTTATAATGGGTTAATTAAGAATAACATCCTGAAGGATACCACAGCTTCTTGAATGATGTTGAATGTTTATGACTGCTAGATTATAGTGTGCTCACTCTGCTCCTCTGAGAACATAGCGTGGTGGCAGGTGATGGCAAGTAGCGGTAGGTGATGGCAAGTGATGACAAGTAGTGGCAGGTGATGGCAAGCAGTGGAAGGTGGTGGCAAGCAGTGGAAGGTGGTGGCAAGTAGTGACAGGTGATGGCAAGGAGTGGAAGGTGGTGGCAAGGAATGGCAGGTCGTGGCAAGTAGTGGAGGTGGTGGCAAGTAGTGGCAGGTAATGGCAAGCAGTGGCAGGTGATGGCAAGTAGTGGAAGGTGGTGGCAAGCAGTGGAAGGTGGTGGCAAGCAGTGGAAGGTGGCAAGGAGCGGTAGCTGCAAGGGTAAGGTGGCAAGGAGTGGCTGGTGGTGCTCCAAGTGAAAGGTGGCAAAGAATGGCAGATGGTGCTGCAGATGGCAGTACTACAGATTTCTCTCCACCAGTTCTGGATTCACTCTCTTTCCATTTTCGTCGTTAAATTTATCACTTGAGACAAAATAAAACGTGTCAAACTAGGAAAAAACTTTAATAATACCTTGTAATTTATCCTTTCACTTGCTAAGTTTTACTTCCCACGAGAACCTCCCGAGGTTTACTCAGGGTGGCCATTAACAATCAGCAGCCGAAAATTTGTTAATTCAGGTAATTCGTCTTGCTAATAAGCCTTGAAGTAATTAGTGAGCAGGTAAGAGGGAACGTTCTCTCATTACGGTGCTGGCCCCCTCTAGGTCGAGAATACCTGGGAGTTGGGAAGAACGGATGGAGGGAGGGGGGGGGGGTGAAGGGTAGTATGCCGCATTTAGAATCGATGCCTAAATTAAACATTATAGTTTTCAACTCTGATTTTCACAACTGAATTTTCAGACTAAGAACTGTTATCCTACCTCACCTCATTTCACAGCCTAGCCCTATCTAGGGTACATTACCACTTCTAGGTTGCGACTCACAAAAGCCGTCTAGTTAAACTGAGGCATAAAGTATATGGAGGACTTGCTCACAGAGTTGTAATCCACGCTCTCGAACACTGAGTTACACTTTCTCCAGATGTAGAACTTATTCATCTGATCTGTTACTTTGGTGTTCACTAGGTCTTTTCCCTCAGGTTTGCCTCCTTTCCCTCATTTACCTTCAAGTGAGAGGTCTCTGCATATCCCCTCAAAGTATGTGGAGCCCAAAGACTGGGAGGTGGGAGGGAAATTCATGGCTAACGTGGTCCTGGAAATGGTTGGCGGAATGGTTATCGCATTAGTCTGGCAACTCACTTGGCCAGAATTCGATTTTCACTAAAGCGGGAATGGTAGACACTCAACTGGTGAGCAGGAAACGTGCCCTTGTTGGGAGTAGGAGCGGGAGGAGATTGTGGGATACAAAGAGTTGGTATACAAAGGTTAGTCAAGGCTCTTTACAAACAAAATTTGCAAAATCAAACATACAATATGCATACTAACTAAAAACACATTAAAACTAAAAATCACTTAAATATTCCATGAAAAGAACAGATGTAACCATAAAAACTTAGCTCTCTACTAAAAATACATCAATTCATTCACACTAAAAGATTTCCCTAAAATAACACCCAGGTCTCTACAGATATCAAATGGTTATAAAACTCATCCTTCATCTGTTATGGCTGGAGCCTAAGGCATATTAAAATGCGGTTCACATTCCACAAGATACACAGAGAAGACCAGAATTACCTTCAAAAGATAGCAACGAATAACCAAAATAAGATAAGCTGTAAGACTTGCCTATTTTCTAATGCAAGTTTTTTGACTCGTTCCCATTTTCTTTGACATTTTCGCATTACTTAACATGGTGGTTGTTGACTAAGATGCATTTTTGTGTGTTACAGGCAAAGCTCGAGACGAAGGCGCTCAAGGCTAAGAGACCAGGCTTCTCCGAGGAGCGATACAACGAAACTTCTTACTACATAGAAAATGGTGAGCAGTCTGATATTCCAGCTGATACTCGACTGAAGAAGCCTACTGTGTAGGCGAAACGTTTCATAATAAAGATACCTAACTCTTGCATATGTGTCTTACCTAACAACCTGTCGGTATTTTATACCATTTTAATGTTCATATACTATATTACAGAAAATGGGTAGGTAAGGTGTATTTACATGTAATTTCAGTGAGATTTTTTTTTTTGTGCAAACTACACACAGGTAGAAACTATAAATAATGACAAGGATTTAAATGCAGTAATATCAGTTTTGTTTTACATTTACATGTTATATTTTATTTAAACATGTCAGCAGTGTAATAGACAGTAGTTTGCAGATTATATTCAAGAGTAAACTGGCTGTGGTGTCGTTCACATTTGTCTTAACTTAAACCACTAATTAAAATACAACTCTGCCTTGCCTTAACAACCCTAAGTAGCTCATTAGTTCCCATGGAGAGAAATGGTATAAAATACGGACAGGATGGATAAAGACAAATTCAGTATTATGCGATCCTTTATTGGTAATATTTTGCTCACACAGTGGACTTGATCAGGTCACAAATAGATCTGTTTGTGGCTTGATAAACCCCACTGTGTGGGCGAAATGTTGTCAATAAAGGATTGAATTATACTTTTGTGTCTTCATCCAGCATTACCACATCCTGTTAGTCCGTTGTAAGTGAAGTTTGGATGTGACCAATAGGAAATTGTTGATTTTTATATTGTGTTTGTAATGTTCTTTGCTGAAGACACCAGAATTCCAAATGAAAGTGGCATTCATGGAAGACAGTGAATCTTCAAGGGATATAAGTACTCCAGTGGTTACCTGGAGGTTATTCTGGGGATCAACGCCCCCGCGGCCCGGTCCATGACCAGGCCTCAAACAATATGATGTTCAATAACAATAAGTTTCAATTGCTCTCCTATGGAAGAATGGAGAAGGAAATAAAGACAACTGGAGTACAGGACAAACTCAAATCATTCAATAGTGTGGAAGCTTCATGTGCGAGATTTAGGAGTAGTGATGTTAGATCTCACATTCGAGGATCACAACACTGTTTCTCTTGCTGCTGCAAGGAAAATGATCGGCTGGATACTTAGAACTTTCAAGACAAAGAGATGCTAAGCCAATGATGATACTCTTCAAGTTGTTCTCTACAGGCAGGAACACTGCTGTATATTATCAGCTCCCTTTAAGGCTCAACAAGGAGAAATTTCAACTACTCAGGTATGGGAAACTTGAGGAAATTAAAAATGTATCAAGGTATACGACAAATGCTAACCATACAAGAGCTGAAAAGTAATGTGAAGGACCTGAGAATGATAATGTCAGAGGATCTCACCTTCAAATACCACAACAGTATATCTACCTCGTCTACTAGGAAAATGATAGGATGGATAATGAGAACCTTCAAAACTAGGGATGCCAAGCCCATGATGATTCTCTTCAAATCGCTTGTGCTCTGTAGGCTGGAATACTGCTGTACACTAAAGGCCCCCTTCAAGGCTGGCGACATTGCAGACCTGGAGAGTGTACAAAGAACTTTCACGGCACACATAAGTACAATATGTTACCTAAATTACTGGGAACAGTTGAAGGTCCTTGATCTGTATTCCCTGGGATGCAGGCGAGAGGGATGCATGATAAAATACACTGGGAAGGTCCTGGAGGGATCGGTACCAAACCTGCACATGAAAATCACTCTCTATGAAAGCAAAAGACTTGGCAGGAGGTGCAACATTCCCCCAATGAAAAGTAGGGGTGCCACGAGTACATCAAGAGACAACACAGTAAGTGTCTGGGGCCCAAGATTGTTCAACTGCCTCCCAGCATACATAAGGGGGATTACCAATAGACCCCTGACTACCTTTAAGAAGGCATTGGACAGGCACCTAAAGTCAGTACCTGATCAACCGGGCTGTGGTTCACATGTCAGCTTGAGTGCGGCCAGCAGTAACAGCCTGGTTGAGCAGACCCTGATTCGCTATGAGGCCTGGTCTCGGACCGAGCCGCAGGGGCATTGACCCTCGAAACCCTCTCCAGGTAAACTCCAGGTAAGGTAGGCGAGATTGCTGAGCTAGAAAACATACAGAGAGCATGCACTGCCTGTATACACTCAATGAAACATTTAAACTACTGGGAATACATGAAATTCCTTCAAATGTATTCCTTGAAATGTAGGTGAGAAAGGTGCATCATAATTTACACATGGAAAATCTTGGAGGGGCTGGTTCCAAACCTGCACACCAGGATCACTCTATATAAAAGCAAGATACCTGGGCACATGATGCAAAGTATACCTCCAATAAAAAGCAGGGAAGCAACAAGTACACTTAATGAACTTGAGCATCAGAGGTCCCTGACTCTTCAACGCCCTCCCTCTATGCATAAGGGAAATTGCCAACAAACCCCTGGCTGTCTTTAAGAGGGAACTAGACAAGTTTCTAAAATTAGTTCCTATAGTTTGTATGTTGCACTGTGTGTGGCCAACAATAACAGTCTAGTTGATCAGGCCTTCATCCACCGGTCTGGGACTAGACCATGGGGGTGTTGACCCTCAGAAGCATGTTCAGGTAGCCTGTATGTCATGCAACCACCTTAGGCTTCTGCTAATACTGAGATAACACAACCCTGGTGGGACATCTATAGTTAAATCCAACACAGAATGGTACCTGGAAATCACTCCCTCTCCTGTTTGTCCCCTATATTACTACCCCCCCCCCCCAAGTGCACCTTAATGTAATACACCAAGTTAAAACCGGTCATTGGTCATATCTACCATGCCATTTACCCTGTGCTAGACAGAGTTGGTTGATGAGAGCGAGGCGATGCTAGTTGGTCAGCATACCCTACTGTCGTGGATCACTTTGTCTAGTTTCAAAGTCTTTCCTGTGTCTAGGAATTAGAGGAGGTGAACCTCTTACTGTTTCCTCAAAAGCTCTGGCAGTTTTTGCAGCTAACAGTAGAGGTATAACACTTATATCTGGGTCATGCATATTAGCAGAAAAATAATCTGGAAGTCAGCTTTTTCTTAACTGCAGCAATTAACTGAGTCAGATAAACAAATAGTCTTAAACTTGACTCCATAAAACACAGGCGATCCAGGAAGATGCATCATAATCTATGCCTGGAGGAACAATTTTCAAATCTGCACCTTGAAATTACTCCTTATGAGAGCAAGAAACTTGGCAGACAGTGCAAAATACCCTTATGAAAAATGAGTACAACAAATACATAAGATATAACTCAAAAGTGTAAAAGGCCCCAAGACTTCAACATCCTCCTATCATATACGAGGGGAATTTCCAACGGACCCGTAAGTCTCTTGAAGAGGAAACTGATAGGGTTTTCCAGATAATTTCTGAACAGCTGGGCTAATCAGAAATTATCTAAACTGCAAGCTGCTTACACAGATTACCAAACTGATCAGGCTAGTAACCACGAGGCCTGGTCTTGTACCAGTCTGTAGAGCCACTGACCCTTGAAACCATCAACATGTAACTATCACTTTAAAAGTACTGTGTAATCACTAAATAACATACCCATTAAGAGTAATACAGTCCTTAACAAATTACTAGAAGGGGGAAAATAATAAACATCACTTCATCATTCAAACATTACTTTGGCATGTGCTAGGTAATGAAAACCATTACAGGGCGTTTCAAAAAGATGAACCCAACCGGTATGGCCTCATGATTAAACGTTGCCTTAACACACACCAGACAGTTGTATGAAGGTTTGCAAGTCCACTGGTCGTGGCAGCCAAGAACTTGTGATACCTCTTACGACTGTCTGGTGTGTGTTAAGGCAATGTTTAGTCATGAGGCCATACCGGTTGGGTACATTTTTTTCCAACACCCTAATAAGGATATCTGTAGGAAAATCAAGGTTTTGAAAGATGACAGTATGCTCCATTAACCAAGAATCAGCATGGACTTTGTAATAAAAGATTCTGCCTAATTAATATTAAAATTGCTCATCTGCATAGAAAGATGCATGTAAAGCAGTTATAGGATGTGAATAACAGAATGCTGGACTTCACGGCTAAAAATGTTTCAGTATGAAACAAGAGAAACAGTACTCACTACAACACACTGGTCACATCTCACATTGTACATGCTCTTTATTCCTGAATTCCAAAGTACATGTACTGTACATAAAAGATGAAAATACACTAGAGTTGATGCAGAAACAAGCAGTTACACTTTGACCTTTAATAAAAGAAATAAATCTTATACATATAGAAAACCTCAAAGAACTAAACTTACTTTCTTCCAGGAAGCAGAGATTTCAGTATCTAATTCAAAACTTAAGATAATTAAGAACTTTGATACACTAAAGCCAGCTGTTAGAAGTGCAAGGCGATGGGAAATATTTGTGCAAAAACTCAGAACTTCATGAACTCACCTAGTTGTGGTATTAGGGGTCAAATATCAGCTCCTGGCCTTGCCTCATTGGACCTATCAGTAATACAAAATAGTATCAGGACTTGGTTTTTATTGAACAAAATTACTCTCCACTGTCATAAATTCAAACACAATACATTAATTTATAAAAAATAGTTTGAAAATTTTTAAACTGATATAAATACAATATAAAGGTTAACATACACATGTGCAAAACTACATCCTTGTTACCTTCTTTTATGGCAGGATGTTAATTATAGTATTATATTCATGGGGAAGTGCTAAACAAATAGTCATTACCTCAGGAATGGTAGGTAATCAGGTTTGATATAAGGAAGGGGATGGTAGCTCTGATTACTTAGATCAAGAGCTCTTTGTCCACATCAAATCATTCATCCTATAAGGAAGATGCAGATAAAGTATATGGTCAATATGGAGTACGAGTACAGAGAACCCTCTCATTAATGGACTAATGGAGGGAGGGGGTGTTCAGTACTGTACTGCCAATCATCTGAAACTTCCAAATTATGAAATTAAATTTTCATGGTCATCCAGTAATCTTCTGAATTAGTGAACTTAAGTCTGCAAATGCTAAAGACAAGCAGACTCTAAGAATATGGGTATTATAACCAGCAGTATCACAGGACAGTACTGTACTGTATAGTAGCAATATGCTGATAGGCTGAATTAATGAGGTAATGTCCTTAATGGTCACATGCTGGTGTCTATCATTTAGATTGGACTTATATGAGAGCATAATGTTCTAATCGAAGCAGCAGCAGGATTTCAGCAGCCAGTTGACTTGTGTGTGTTACTTCTTCCTGCAGGTCTAAGGAAGGTCTACCCTTACTACTTCACATTCACAACTTTCACCAAGGGTCGCTGGGTAGGAGAGAAGATCCTTGATGTATTTGCCAAGGAGTTTCGTGCCCACCCTGCCGAGGAGTATGTGAGTACTGAGTCAGGTCCACCAGTAAGTGAGTACTACTGAGTTAGGTCACTAGTGGTTGACATAATATTTTGTTGATTAAAAAGCATAGTAATTTTGATATTTAACAAGATCTAGTAAATACCAACATTAGAATAACTTGAAGACATTATATGGTGCTAAAGCCATGACTCAATTTATAAGTTAACTGCATTAAGCATTTAAGAGTAAACAAACAACTGGAGTAGAAATGAACCTGATGCAAAATGCTGATACACATTAATATAATTATTTATATTAGTTATAAATTTTCTAGAGACTTATGACTAAAGCTGGTTCATCTCTTATCAAAGTGTTTATTTATTAAAAAAGAGATTTAAGAAATTAAAAATGGGTAGCTAATGTATTTAAAGCAGAGTACTGCAACCTAATCTAGAATATTAATTGATTAATAGCATAAATTACTGATTTAAATGTTATTGGATTAAGGGTCTAAATATGCTTAGTCTGAACCACCTGTTGGTTCCCCACTTTTCTTATGTAACAGGAAATAAATAGTTTTTTCACAAGCAAGTGTTATTAAATGAATTATTATTCATGCAATGTTCAGAGAAGCTTTTTTTAAAGCCTTTGCTGTAATTGAAACACTCATTTCTCATTTTATATCAAGAGGCACTTTAGTAGTTAATACGTACATTACAAAGTGTCTTGCTTCAAGTATCATTACGTACACATACTTTATATATTAATCTAAACACATTGATCAAAATAATTTTAGTTGCACTAGCCAGGAAGAGCCCAAGAGCAGCTCCAGTGCAGTCAGAGAAATAACATCTCATACAAGAGAAATATCTAGATAAATTTTATAACTCGAAATTAAATTTTTCCCCCATAATTTTGTCAAATTCACTGTCCACTAATGAGATCATCTTCCCTAGGAACGGTGCATCAAGAGTGGGACGTTAACGGTCAACTATGAGAAGGTTGACACAGACTACAGACTTAAACACAATGACCTGCTCGCTAACATTGTCCACAGGTACTGCTACCTTGGCCAGCCCACAGGCTTCTTCACAGCCATTCTAGTTGCGTCTTAGGTAGTTTTGCTAGAGGCTAAAATATTTTGAAAACTTTAAACTATGCATTTTTCAAGTTTCTATCCAGGTTCAAATATTTTTCGTCTTATAGTTTTAGTTTTCAGTCACTTTGTGCACTTTTTAAAATTGTTTCAGTTTCATAATGATAACTAATTTTTTTTGGCAGAATTGTAGGTTAGGCTCCTTGGCTTCATTAAAATTAATTTGAGTAAAAAATAATATTTATTTGCTAACATAGTAAAACTAGGAATGATAAAAATAAACTGTTTATGTGGAGATGTCTTTCTAAAAGCACCACAGTGGAAAATAAATGTAAAACATAAGCTTGTGTGGGGTCAAAAGTGTTAATCAGAAAAGCTGATAAGGCTTATATTAGTGCCCAATGTCATCAGAGAAGTAAATAGAGTTGTTGCAAATAATCTAGTTATTTTTCATATACATACATATTTAGGACGACAATACTTTAGTTTTAAATTAGATATCTTGAGTGATAAGAAATAACAATATTTTTATGAAAGTTAAAAATGACTTTATTAAAAAATTATTTTTAGATTTTAGTACCAAGTAATGTCAGAAAACACCAAATAGTAATTGCATAGACTGGAACAAAATATTGGTAAATGGCTTTTTTTATTAACTAATATACAGTATATTCTATTGTGTATATACTGTCTGACAGTAGGGAGATGATTTATAAAATGACTGGGAGACTGGCACCAGTATGAAAGTGAATAAACTTCTAAATAAAAAAGTGATCTTTAATAAGTTAAGGCTACTTTAAGATGTATGTTAAAGCAACAAGTTTCGGTATAATAAACTGTTTGGTTAAAATTATGAGTATAGTACAATGACAGACAAAATAAACTAACAACACTGTACCACCTGACAGTGTATGACAGCAGGAACACTGTACCACCTGGCATTGTATGACAGAAGGAAACCATCAGGAATATAGCTTTAAAGAGATGCAAGGTTATTTGTATGCACCATAAAAAAAACATTATTTGAACTTATAAGTCAATTCAATCATGTAGGCTTTGTAGCTTTATCACAGCCACCATCCTTTATATATAAAAGTAAGGCATTTAACTCTTCTTCACTTCTGATAGATATTCTAACGGCAAAGTTCCTAATCAATCTTAAGAAAGTGGTTGCTCCCTAGTGTTACACAAGACTAATTAATAAATCTGTGTTTAACAAATTTTACATTTACATTATATGGCAAAACCAAAACATTCTCATGTTTATATAGTACTTATTCTGCTTTCAGTGCCATTGTACAGAAAGTCGTCTTGGCAATATAAGAAGCAGTATTATCATTTAAGATATGGAAAGCATTAAATTTTGTTGATACCTGGAGAGGGTTTTAGGGATCAACTTTCTAAGAGTTTATACAATTATGGATTATTATATGACCATAAGGGTCATATAGTTATACAGTCATGGAAAGGTGACTGTGATATTAGAACAAAGTGATGGTATATACAGTACTGTATATGACTGTTTCAGTTAACCCGTAAATGGTCCAAATGTATGTATGCGTTCTTACCGCTAGTGCCCCGAACGTATATGTAAGTTTTATTTTTCATTCCTTCAAAATTGGCACGATAGGCCCGAGTCGCCTAGACAGGACAGAATGGGTCTGCGCACTCAGTGTGCGCATTATGGAAAAAATTCGGGGACGCCTGGGTTCTGCATGGTAGCACCAGTTACAGTCAGGTCAATCTTGGGTCAACATAATGGCACATTCTCGTGATTCACTCACGCCTCATCGTTTAACACACTACTATTCAAGGAAAGTGATATAGAACGTGAGTTTAGTGGATTTGACAGCAATGTGGCCACTAATAATCAAGGAATTAGTGAAAATATCGATGATAAACCAGATGACCCTCAGCCCATCACTTCTGAGGTGGCCAGTGTGGCCACACCAGACCCTAGGCCAAGCATTTCAAGGGTGGCCAATGTGGCCACACAAGACCCTGGGCCAAGCACCTCTTGAGTGGTGAATGTTACCTATAAGCAATTACGCAATAGGAAATTATCATTTTCCCGGTGTTTTAGTGATAGTGATGTAAGTGACGATGAGATTGATTTTATGCCATTCAGGAATTCGTCTAGTGATAGTGAAATTCATTATTCACCAGTGAAGCGTACTTTTAGGTGTCATTGCTTACGTTCAGCAGTGTGCTATATACAGTGGACCCCCAGTTTACGATCAGCTCCCAATGCGACCAATTATGTAAGTGTATTTATGTAAGTGCGTTTGTACGTGTATGTTTGGGGGTCTGAAATGGACTAATCTACTTCACAATATTCCTTATGGGAACAAATTCGTTCAGTAATGGCACCTGAACATACTTCTGGGATGAAATAATATCGTAAGCCGGGGTTCCACTGTATATGCAGTCCCCAAGGGTCGTGGGAGGTCACAATCCAAAACCCCGGCCACTGATAGTGATAGTGATCATGAAGGTGAATATGCGGGGATGGAGGATGTAGTGGTGGGTGGCACAGTGCTTGGACCACAATGGTCAGTGAGTGGACAGACAAAGGATCCCCCAGCACCCCCTCAACCATGTGCTGCCTCCACTCCTGTTCCCCCTCCTGCTCCCCCATGCCACAGGTCCACCCTGCACCACGTGACCATGAATGGAACTGGACACAAAGTATATTCGTGCCACAGCCTTGTGATTTTGTTGCGAGTGGAAGTGGTATCCTGCTAGAATGTCCTATAACAAATGAATCTACAGAGTTAGACTCTTTCCAGTTATATTTTGACGAGCTGATAATGAACTTGATAGCGACCAAGACGAACAATTATTACCGCTATATCATGGACAACACAGCAGAGGTTGGAGAATCATCACGTCTGCGCAGGTGAAAAGATACAACAGTGGCTGAAATGTATTTATCCCTTGCCACTGTAATACTTATGCCACATACCTATAAGAACAATATACATAACTACTGGTCCACAGACCACTTCATCAGTGCTCCAGTCTTCCGTGACTTCCTTCCCTGAAACTAGATTCGCTCTGTTGCTATGAATGTTGCACTTCTCAGACAGGAATATGTCCAACAGAAATGACCTTCTAAACAAAATCCGAGAAGTGTTCACGTATTTGAAGCAGAAATTCAGTGCATACTTTTACCCCTTCAAGAACATTGTTGTTGATGAGTCCTTGATTCTGTTCAAGGGACACCTGTCATTCAAGCAATATATACTGAGAAAATGTAATCACTTTGATATAAAACTGTTTGTGTGTGACTGTGAGAGTGGTCTTGTGTTGGATGTCATTGTATACACCAGGAGAGACACACTTGATGATGACAGACGGATGTTGGGCATTTCTGATGATGTTCGCTGGATGATGGAACCATACTTTGGCAAGGGCCATACACTGCACACAGACAACTGGTATACAAGCCCTATCCTCACTGATTTCCTACGTGTGAACAATACTGATATATGTGAAACAGTGAGAAGGAATAGAAAACATATGCCAAAGTTCAGTGGAGGCAGTGTTGAAGGTGCAGTGCAAGTGTTTCATGCTAATGACATCATGGCACTGACATGACATGACAAACAGAACGTGACATTGCTGTCAACCATCCACAGAAATGAGATGGTACAAACAGACAAAGTGAACTGGGACACCAATGAACGTATTGTCAAGCCAGCTGCTGTTATGGACTATACGAACAATATGCGATTAGGTGAGAAGCATGACATGATGATAGGGTTTGTTGACTGTGTGCGTAGGAGTCGCAAGTGGTATATAAAACTGTTTTTCCACCTTGTAGACATCGCAGTGCTCAATGCATTCAATATGTATGAAATAAAGATTGGAAAACGACAACGTTTTGCAGAAGTCTCCATAAATGTCGTAAAAACGATAGCAAAAAGGTATGGTGCCACACCTGTACCTGCCCCTCAACAGTGACTTGCCCCACTGGCTGTGGTTGTGGGACAAGTGCCAGACTGAATCATCCCTAACTGTCACTACCTGGTACCAATACCACCTACCCCAAAGAAGAAGAATTCCCAGAAAAAGTGTGTTGTGTGTGCTACCCCCACAAAATGACTCCAACAGTGGAAGGACACATGATTCATGTGTCACCAGTGTGGGGTGGCACTCTGTATGAATCCATACTTCATAGAGTATCACACAATCGTGGAATTCTAGAAACATAAGTGGGACATGTAAATACTTGTATATAGTTATAGATAATAGAATGTGATTCAGCCAGGTGTGCTAAATCACCTATCAGTGTGTGCATGTGTGTTTGTGACAGTATAATAATAATTTCGTATATAATATTCATGTATAAACAACAAATGGCATTGAAATAAAAATATTTACTATAAAACATAATTATCATATCATAAAAACCAAGAAAATTAAAAAAAAAAAAATGGAAAAAACGGTAAATGTGTAGAATTTCTGCAAGCGGCAGCACTCCATGTTGCCGTCAGGTGATCGCCAAGTGCCAACTTCACTGCCTGATATCTTGGTAAGTACTGACCCTAATTTTTTTTTATCCTATAGCACTTAAAAAAGTGCTATTTATTTCTATAATTTTTTTTTTTTAAATATTCAGGGTGTTGGGTGAGAAAACGTATATATATACGTTTGGACTGTTTAGGGGATAATATATGGCTATACTCAAGTGGTAGCAGTTAAGGTATAAAATATTTCACAAGCATACAACAAGAGCCACCGTGAAAAAAACTTACCTGGAGAGGGTTTTGGGGGTCAACGCCCCCGCGGCTCGGTCTGAGACCAGGCCTCGTGGTGGATCAGGGTCTGATCAACTAGGATGTTACTGCTGACTACACACAAACTGACATACGAACCACAGCCCGGCTGGTCAGGTACTGACTTTAGGTGCCTGTCCAGTGCCTTCTTGAAGACAGCCAGGGGTCTATTGGTAATCCCCCCTTATGTATGCTGGGAAGCAGTTGAACAGTCTTCGGCCCCTGACACTTATTGTGTTGTCTCTCAGTGTACTCATGGCGCCCCTGCTTTTCATTGGGGGCATGTTGCATCTCCTGAGTCTTTTGCTTTCATAGGGGGTGATTTTCGTGTACAAGTTTGACAGGTACTAATCCCTCTAGGATTTTCCAAGTGTATATTATCATGCATCTCTCTCGCCTGCATTCCAGGGTCCAGGGAATACAAATCAAGAGACTTCAACCATTCCCAGTAATTTAGGTGCCTTATCATACTTATGTGTGCCGTGAAAGTTCTTTGTACATGTACATTCTCCTTGTCAGCAATTTTGCCTGCCTTGCAGCGGGAAGTTAGTGTACAGCAGTATTCCAGTCTAGAGAGAACAAGCGATTTGAAGAGAATCATCATGGGTTTGGCATCCCTAGTTTTGAAGGTTCTCATTATCCATCCTATCATTTTTCTAGCAGATGTGGTAGGTACATTGTTGTGGTCTTTGAAGGCAAGATCCTCTGACATTATCCCTCAGGTCCTTCACATTACTTTTTCATTCCATTGTATGGTTAAAATTTGTTGTATACCCTGATACAGTTTTAATTTCCTCAAGTTTTCCATATCTGAGTAGTTGAAATTTTTCTTCATTGAATTTCATAATGTTTTGAGTGGCCCATTTGAAGATTTGGCCGATATCCACTTAGAGTCTTGCGGTGTCTTCGGTGGAGGACACTTCATGGCAATTCAGGTGTCATCCGCAAAGGAAGACACAGAGCTATGGCTTACATATCTGCATGTCGAATATGAGGATGAGGAATAGGCTGGGAATGAGTACTGTGCCTTGTGGAACAGAGCTTTTCACTGTAGCTGCCTCAGACTTTACTCTGTTTACTATTGCTCTTGTGTTCTTTTTGTTAGGAAGTTATAGATCCATCTATCAACTCTTCTTGTTATTCCTTTATCATGCATTTTGTGTGCTATTACACCATGGTCACACTTGTCAAAGGCTTTTGCAAAGTCTGTGTATACTACATCTGCATTTTGTTTATCCTCTATAGCATCCAGGACTTTGTCATAGTGGTCCAGTAGCTGGGACAGGCAGGAGCGACCTGCTCTAAACCCGTTGCCCTGGTTTGTGTAATAAAAAAAATAAGGGTTGCCAATGATGATTTTTCTTCAAATAACTTGTACTCTGTAGGTTGGAATATTACTGTACACTAATGGCCCCTTTCAAGCCAGGCAGAACTGCAGACCTGGAGAATATACAGAGAACTTTCACTGCACATATAAGTACAATATAGGACCCAAATTACAGTGGACCCCCGCATAACGATTACCTCTGAATGCGACCAATTATGTAAGTGTATTTATGTAAGTGCGTTTGTACGTGTATGTTTGGGGGTCTGAAATGGACTAATCTACTTCACAATATTCCTTATGGGAACAAATTCGGTCAGTACTGGGACCTGAACATACTTCTGGAGTGAAAAAATATCGTTAACCGGGGGTCCACTGTACTGGGAATGGTTGAAGTCCCATGACCTGTGCTCTGTGGAATGCAGGCGAGAAAGACACATGATAATATACATTAGTGGGCTATTCATACACTTGAAACTTGAAAGACTTGTCTCTCTTATGGAAAAGAAAATCAGAACATAAAATGGATCATGCTTCTTCACTTTGTCTTAAATTTAATGGAAGTAACTACTGTAGATTGTTTAATCTGGGAAGAAAATCTTCAAGACTTTTATTACACAGTCATGAGCAAATATCATTTGCATATCTCATCCATTTAGAAGGAGAGAGTACAATATCTTTCTAAATCTTACTCTCGAAGAATTCCATTTATAATTTGGATGAAAGCAGCAACATTTACTGTAATGTTGTGACAAGTTATGCAAACAGCCGAGAATCTTATTATGTCATTCCTAGTGCTTGGCTGCCAGTCTACATAGTCAGGAAGAGGTAGAATCAGTGTCACTGTTTTCTACCTCTCTTTAAACCTACATGCATTGTAAATAATTGAAATAAAAACAGTTTGTAATACCGAAAAGTTTTAGTTACTTTTATGCACATCTAAAGGTAATCTTCACCATTTAAGGTTGTGTACATGTGGCAAGCAGGACTGTTCTGTCCAGCATTGGTGCCAGCATTCCTGACATGTTCTGAACCACTCTACTCTAATATGCTCTGCCCAAGCACATTTATTTGAACTTAATCTGCCACCGATGATAAAACCTAAAATGCCTCCATTACCATTTTGAATTTGGCAATTGAAACATCTGTTGTGTGTGTGTGTGTGAGAGAGAGAGAGAGAGAGAGAGAGAGAGAGAGACACACACACACACAGACAGAAATATGATGTAACAAGAGAGAAGAGCAGACTCATATAATTAAGAGTAATAACAATATCAGTAGATAAAGTATCTTGCCTGGGCCTAATTTAACAAATTAGACATATTTATAATACTGTATATCAACTCGAGTGTAAAATGTAACTGTATAATATTAAGTGCTATTGTGTGAACTATTGCATGCTAATGAGAATAAATGGAATTAAAGAAATAAAATTCAGATAAAGTAAATGACTCATGAAAATGTGAAGAATTTTTTTTATGTGGGTGAGGTGAGTGAGTTTGGATAGCTCTGTGTGTGTGGGAGGGGGTAGGCTCTCTCTCATGCACACACACACGTGTGTGTGCATGAGAGAGAGCAAGGAAGAATGATCTGAGAAGGAAGTGTGGGTAGCAGGGTTCAGGCATGTGGTGGAACAAGAGTGGAGAAAAAAAAAGGTTTAGTGAATTTTGCAAAGCAATGGAGGAGAGGGTGTCTGCAGAGAGAAAGGAATTAGAGAGAAGAGTTGCAGCTGCTGAGGCAAAGGTATAGAGCCAGGAGGAGGAACTGAAGCAGGAAATGGAGCACGAGATAGGAGCAGGAACAGCAATAGCAGGCAAGGGGACTGAAGGAAGGGAAGGAGCTAAGACCTTTATGGAAATGCTATTAGACAACCAGGAGGTCCAGATGATAAGGACAGTAGCAAAGGAGTAGCTCAAATCAGATAAAAGATATGAAAGAGAATGACAGGGAAAGTGAGAGAGCAAGAGAAGAGAGAGCACTACATGCATCACTCCACCGCCCCCGGAACTCACATGGGTGCGAGTGGAGTGAGTTGCAGGTGTGAGCATCACTGGTTTCAGGCACGAGGTACCGGTGACGGCCGAGCAGATCCCCATCGTCCACGTGGATGAGGACTTGGTAGTGGTGGACAAGCCTGCCTCCATTCCTGTAAGTCAGCCACACATGCGCCCACCACTGCCGTATAGATGTAGATACTCACACCCACGCCCCACCTCTCACCTCACTCACTCCTCGCTCTAGCTTTAAACTGACTGAATTTACTGGTTTGGGCAACAACAAAAAAACTTTGAATGTTATGCTATAAATGCTAGGTGATGTGAGGTGAGGTCTTAGTGGGTGCTGTATCCCTACCAGCACTTCGCTCAGTCCCAGATCCTGTGCGTTGTCCCTGCAGCAAAATCCTCCCTTATGTGCATCATATACCCACTCTTCAGCAGTGCACATGCATGATCCTTCACCCACAGGCAGACTTTTTTTTTCTGCCTGCTTTAGAGGTATATTTTGTGGCCACAGAATTTCTTTTATAGACTTTTAAAAGAGCCTTGATTATTAATGATCAGAATACAGTATATCCATATTTTAGTTATTATTCACCATACATAAAGAGGGTTCCAACCTTCACAAGTAAAGACCGAGATACTATATAAAGTTTAAAAGATGAAGCTGTATACCTGCATTTAATAAGTGGGTCAGCAAAATACTTTATATTACTTCTCCAGTGAAAACTTAAAGGTCTCTTTGACTGATTCAATTCTGTAATGATACAGATGAATAAAACTAGTGAATATAATGGATCTGGGTTTCCGAGCGAGGTGGTGGGGGGCGCGGTGAGAGGGCCTTCCCTCTCGTTGTTGCTAAACTTGTGTTTTCAGAGTGTTGGTGGCCGTCGCAGCTTAACTGGGTGTGTGTTGCTGTCATCCGCAGCATTTTCAATAGCTCGCGTTGTGCATTCACATTATTAGAACAGTGCCTATGTTTTTCTAATAATATTCTTAATATAGATGCTAAACGCAGTCGTGTTGTGATTGCTATTGCAGACATGAGACGCCGGTGTTAGCGCGAAACATTGCAATATTACATTTAGATGAGGATTTGGTCGTTCTCGACAAGCCATGTTCCCTGCCGGTGAGTAGTTGCGGCTAGCTTTAACCCAGCTACCTAGCTAGCTGCCTGCCTAGTGTAGCAGGGGTGGGTCTGCAGGACCCCCGCCCCCGGCATGGTGTGGTCAGCACTTTTCAGGCCACGGGGTAACCAGGCACTCTCGTGCGCGTGCCACATCACTGTCTGCATCACGAGCACATAGCTCTCTGCGGCACCCCAAGTCTTCGACAGCTCCACAACGTCCAACAGAGCATAGACGTTCTAACAGCGTAGCCATCCCTCAGGTGGCATTGCAAACTAAACCGTGTGACCCTCCCAATAAATGGCTTAGGTGCGCACTCAAAACAATCACTTCGTTTACATGTCATTGCGTCGACTTTTGTTTATGCGAATAAGTAATAAAAGAGAGAGACTAAGTTTCATTTCTAAAGTATTTTATATATTTTTACACCCACCAAGGCAACAGCCTCCACCACTGCAACCTCCATTCTTCATACTGTATATATAACTACATATATTTTTTACCTTCCCTTGTTCCTCCTCCCTTATCGCATCCTACGTTTCAATTTTAGATTTAGATTTATACTGTATTGCCGTGCCTCAGCTTTGAATACTGGTCATCTTTTGTAAATTACTTGCGTGAATTTGACTCTTGTTTACTACCCCAATTCCCTGAATTCCTCAAGGAGCTGTTAGTTTGACCCTTATGTCATGGAGCTGTTTTCAGTCATTCCTAAAAATTTTTGTTATCAATTTCTGATGCATTTATAAGCTTTAAAGCCTCCCTTTTTGAACTGGATCCTTTGCACCTACAGTGTTGTAAATCCCTGGTTCCTGGCACACATGCGATTGGCTGCCCAACCCCAATTTTGGCCCTTTTTCTTCTCTTTTTTTTTTTTATCACATGGCTATAGCATGATTACCAGTACATAACATTTGTATTTTAGGTACCATTGCAGCATACATTTGCACCCTTAATTTGCTATTTATTTTTGTTTGTTTCAGAGCTATTTCCCAGAGTGGACCTGGCTCAACATAGCAAGCCAAGGATGAATAACTTTTTTTTAAATTTCCAATGGTTTACTTTTTTCGTATATGATTTTCAAATGAGATTGTAACTTGTGTTATCCCTGGCACGAGTAATGATTAAACAGTTTTCCTATTGCCTCCTAAATTCTATTTAAAGTTCTTGTTTCTTTTTTTTCTTTTTTTAGTTTTGCACATTTGCACCCGTTTGTTGTGTGAGTTGCAGGTTTTGTAGATTTGGTCCTTGTCCCTTATTCTGTAAACATCACCAAATTGCAAGCCACAAAAACAAACAGGTGGATTGAACCATCCTCACAAAATTTACAAACCATTAATTTCTTTGATCAAGAACACAGCAATTAACTGTTAACATTCTCAATATGGTACGTAGCTCAACTGATTGTATCAACGGAAAGAATGTCAAAGTGTCAGCTACCTATATATTCGTCTCATCAGTGCACCTGACCTTACATTCAGTCTTGAGTCATTAGCTTCTTGTTGCAAAGTTGCACCTTTTCTTGCTTCTACTACAATTTTCATGGCTTTTGTTTTTAAGAACTTGCGAGTTTATTGTCTTTCCTCACATTTGGTCATGTAATACTCGTACCACAGTCTCTTTTCTGCAGTTCTCCATCTCCAGTCCTTCAAGAGGCACTTATGGAGTTACCTAGGAAAATGCCAATGTTATTTAATTTGTTTCCACTGGCAAAGCATCAATGAATAGCCTTGCCTGTCTTGTTCTATAAAAAAAAGTGAATATCTTTAACTGTTAAATCACTTGTTTCAGTTTGAAATTAACAAAAAAAAAAAAAACACTGCTTAAAATTTTATGAATTTCATATTCAAAAACATTTAAACATTGCACTAGTTACTGTGTCAGTGTGGAAACACAAGCATACATTGGTCATGACAAATACAGTATCCTGGTGGCATGTCAGCTGCAACTTCATCAGCTGAATGTATCAGATTTGCATCTACCTCAGTCTATTCTCCTTCCCTTGGTCATCCATACACACACACACATTCCTAACTACAAGCTTTTTACTTAGCCACTTTAAATACAGTGCAGTTTCCCCACATCAAAAGTCTTATTATCCACCTAATCAACAGTTAGATGTATGATCACACTGATAGTCAGTCCTAGCACATCAACATGTAACATTATACATCACATCCCCATTATCCAGAACATTTAGCCTTATCCACATCACTTTTATTTACTTTTATTTACCATATCCATGGTAATAAACACATATTTTCTTACATTATATAGTCATCCAACACCTTATCTGCCACAGTTTAAGAAAACATCAACCTTCCTCACACTAACTTTATACCTTTGGGACTTCTTACTATTGTTGCCAAGGCATCTTAACATGCAACTAACATTGTTAGAACTCATTATCTCATTATCATAATCCATGCTAGGTCCCAAGGTGTTGGGTTGAGCTGACTCAACTTTTGACCCCACAGGGCTGATGGGCTTCATGACCTGAAAGAAAAGAACAGTAAGTAAGGTCAGACTGTCTTTAAAGAAAACCTTCTGACATGTTAATGATAAGAGAGCTTGATCCACACAGCTTCTCTGTACAGTACTTCCAAAAAAAGGATTTTTCTGCCACCCAAATGACACTGTTGATGTAAAAACTGTAATTTACACTGTCTAAATCCTCAATAAAAGATTTTAGAAATCCGAGGACTTTTAAACTGCTTTCATGTCATTAGGACTACAAGTGCCCGCAGACATCCGTGTGACTGATCGTGTCTTCTTGGCATCGCATGAGTAATCATGTTGGCAAGTTTCAGACTTGCACACCTATAAGGCTGGCATGCATATACACACAAGTGTAAAGTCAACCTTCTTGCAGAAATAGCCAACAAGTCTAGTCTCAGCAATTAATTATGTACCTAAATAAACATTTATCACAAGAATTGTTATTTCCAATTAACAAACACCTTGCATTAAATACTTCAATATAAAACATTCAACACAGTACTTACACTGTAGCTACTGTATAAGAAAGACTCCAGTAGTAAATACTGCTAACTGTATAAATGATAACAGCACCAATATTTTAATAGTCAAATCAAACACTCACTATTGTTGTCATACCACCTGGCACGACAGATTGGCACAAAAGAACACCATGACATCACCCACTGCCCTTTGACATCACCCATTGCCACTCTACATCACTCATCGTCTCTTGACATCTCAGTCATTTGTAAGTCTTCCATCTCCTCAGCTATGTATGCATCTCCTATTCTTTCCTAAGAACCTTTAGTTTTTCTTCACATTCCATCATGTATTTTCAGCATTTGCCAATAGCAGGAACATTTTATTCTCATTTATCACTATTACCTCCTACTGTAACATGCATTTATCTTACTCTGTACATTTTTATGTTTCTTGTTGTGGTTGTAATTTTTCCTCACAGAATAAGCTATATTTATCATCTGTCTCGCATTGTGTTTCCTCTCAGCATATGTCCTTTCTCACATTAAGATCTGTGTTGTTCTCAGTAGCTTTATGAGCTTCCTGTTTATTTCCACTCTAAAGCTCTCCAGCTGCCAAGTGTATCTAACTTGTACATCACAGCTTTGATAACTAGGAAGCCCATAATGATCACACACCTAACATTTGAATAAAAGGAGTTACAATCCTTATTATTGTTTGAGTATGTAGGACCTACATGACATGGAGTTTCTCAGCAGTCACTTCTTAAGTAACTCACTGAGGTAACCTTCGTAACATAGTCACATACTATAAATATACTGGCATTTTTCAACACTGAAGGATGAGCTCCAGAATGAGTACTAATATTGTAATATTTATGCTTGCCAACTATGAGTTACTTAAGAGTTGTGACCATGTTTGTACTTGGTCATATCTGCCTCAGCACCACAACCATTCTTACATATGCTGCAGCAGCTGTGCCAAATTACACCTTATAGCACCCCTGAAATTATATAAACAGATCATTAAAGCAGTTTTTCCTGGAGACATAGGTTGCTTCATCTCTCAGTAACATATAATAATTTATTAATGGTAAAAATATATTTGATGTATCAGTTAACTGTGAACAGTTTAATACTGTATTGTACATAGCATTCTCTTTTTCTGGGAAAAACGAGGCTATATTATGATAACCGGCCTAACTACTAAAGGTTCTCACCTGCCAGTATTTTGGTTGTGACTTTGCCACCTCCCCGTAAGTAACGATGGTGAGAGAGCTGGTTCTCTATACACCACAGCGCGTCAGTCGAAGGCTACCATTTCTTTGTGTTTGGTGGTAATAAATGCAGCATGACTAAGCCCTTTCTGGAAATCAGTCATTGCTTTTTTATTTACACCAAACAAATCACCATAAGCTTCAAAAACTTGAATTTTTACACAATAAGATTGTACAAATTCAAGAAGAGAAGTTCACAGGTTGAGAAATTTAGCCCTAGTCCCTGAGGCTGTTGTAGACGTGCCCGTGGGCTGTCGCCTGCTGTGGCCAGACCTTTTCCCCCCTCCCCCCACTCACTGATGGTGGTGACTGTTGTTGTCCCCGCGTTCAGGTGCACCCGTGCGGCCGCTACCGACACAACACGGTTGTCTTCATCCTGGCCAAGGAGTACAATCTCAAGAACCTCAGAACCATCCACCGCCTTGATAGACTCACGAGCGGTAAGTTGGCAACCCTCCTGTCCTGCTATCCTGCTTTCTTCATGTATATATTTTACCATGTTCTTTATGTTTTATGACACATTAGCCTTTGTTCTATTCCCCACCTACCACAGCCCCCAAGCTTCCATATCAAGCTTTCCTAAGTCTGAGGATCATGAAACTTCCTCAGAACCACCTTGCTTTCACACACTAATACTGTATTTGTATAATTGTTTAATATTTTGAGATGTCAGATAATTTAGCGATAGCGAGCCAACTAAAGTGCTACTGTTGCTTCCCTTGGTACAGTACCTACCAGAGCTAAACAGTAATATTGTGTAGTTTTCTATTAAAAATAATAGTGTGAAACCTTTGCCTTCCACAAAACATCTAGCCTAACCTGTTGAACAGGATCTTTAAGAATTCATAAGTAATTCTTCCCCACATTTTTCTGACCATCTTCCAGTCTGTTGTGTCTCATACAGCTGCTCTAACCTTCCACACACCTGTGGCTCAATTATTTGCTCATCCCATATACTTTCATCCCTAACTCATCCCATCATCTAATAACTGCAGTTAAATACATCATACAGAATATTGTCATTACACGTCATTGCAGTTTTCATAACCTTCGCTCACTTTCATGAAAATAAATGAAAGTAATAGTCTTAATATGGCATTAGCTAATTAAATTTAACACAAGTTTTGTTACTCATTTGTGTACACAGTATTATAATTTTATCTCTTAGTCCAGGTTCCTCAGTTGTAATTTGGGTTCTCTGTAATCTTTTGGGCTAGGCCTGGGCTTGTCTTGGACTTTTCAGCTAGCCTTGGACTTGTTCCTGACTTATTTTCAGCTAGTCTTAAACTGGTCCAGGGCTAGTCCTAACTAGTCTTGGGTCAGTCTTAAATAATCTCTTGGCTAGTCTTAAGCTAATTTTAGAAATCTACACTCTCATTTTGCAATGTTTCATAATCTTATGAAAAATGCATGCAAGTGAGTATCACGTTGAGGCAGCCATTATGAAGACTTTCTAAGCATCAAGACTGAACCCCCGGCCTTTTTTTTTTTTGGGTCAAGTATATACAACAAAGATAGTAATATTACAAGTTGCTCATCTAATATTTTAAATAATTTCTTTTACAGAATACATCTACAGTACTGATTCACTGCAGCATAATGGAGAAAGATATTTCTCCTTTAATGGAATTTATTTTAAATATGGTATAGTCATAAAACAAACTTCAAAAGCATTTTCAGATGAAGGGTTTGGTGTGATTTTGTTTTCTTCAGAGTATGAGCATTACCAACATTTTATACAAAATTGCATGATTTTTGTGATCAATCATCTTATTGCAATTGGTGTTTTTTACCTGGACGTCCTCGAAATGTACTTCCCAGTCTTGGTAACTAATTCATTGTGCAGCATCCCCACGACTAGTAAAGTACTTCAGCCACGTCAGATGTTGCTAATCATCACTTTTTGCTTGGTGTATTGCTATACATTTCATCTTTACTAAAAGTTAATTTGCCATTGCTCTGTTTGTATGCTGGAAAATTTTCTGTAAGTTTTGGCAACTTCAATATCTATGCTTTGACTAGCAAGCTTTTAAATATAAATATATTGACATTATACTGCAACTGTAATGTCCTTAGCACAGATTTCTAAGAATACCTGTGACACTATATTTAAGCATAATTCACTACAGATATCCTGGTGATAATGCCTGAAATATTTGAAACCTCATTTTGTGCTTGCAACTAATTTCCATGACTCTTCGTCCAGCTTAAGATGTTAATATGGCACATATAACAGTATCACTATGTTGTGCACGTGGGAGTTCAACATTTAAGTTGGTGTTCTTGATATGTAAAATAGCAAGTAAGAGAGTGAGAGTGTGTGAGTGAGTGTAAGTGTGAGTGTGAGTGTGTGTGTGTGTGTGTGTGTGTGTGTGTGTACTCACCTATTTGTACTCACCTATTTGTGGTTGCAGGGGTCGAGTCACAGCTCCTGGCCCCGCCTCTTCGCTGATTGCTACTAGGTCCTCTCTCTCCCTGCCCCATGAGCTCTATCATACCTCGCCTTAAAACTATGTATGGTTCCTGCCTCCACTACATCCCTTTCTAGGCTATTCCATGGCCTGACTACTCTATGACTGAAGAAATACTTCCTAACATCCCTTTGATTCATCTGAGTCTTCAACTTCCAATTATGACCTCTTGTGTCTGTGTCCCATCTCTGGAACATCACGTCTTTGTCCACCTTGTCTATTCCGCGCAGTATTTTATATGTCGTTATCATGTCTCCCCTGACCCTGTGTGTGTGTGTGTGTGTGTGTGTGTGTGTGTGTGTGTGTGTGTGTGTGTGTGTGTGTGTGTGTGTGTGTGTGTGTGTGTGTGTGTGTGTACTCACCTAATTGTGGTTGCAGGGGTCGAGACTCAGCTCCTGGCCCTGCCTCTTCACTGATCGCTACTGGATCCTCTCTCTCTCTGCTTCCTGAGCTTTGTCATACCTCTTCTTAAAACTATGTATGGTTCCTGTCTCCACTACTTCACTTGCTAGGCTATTCCACTTGCTGACAACTCTATGACTGAAGAAATACTTCTTAACGTCCCTGTGACTCGTCTGAGTCTTCAGCTTCCAGTTGTGACCCCTTGTCCCTGTGTCCCCTCTCTGGAAAATCCTATCTCTGTCCACCTTGTCTATTCCCCGCAGTATCTTGTATGTCGTTATCATGTCTCCCCTGACCCTTCTGTCCTCCAGTGTCGTCAGTCCGATTTCCCTTAACCTTTCCTCGTACGACATTCCCTTGAGCTCTGGGACTAGCCTTGTTGCAAACCTTTGTACTTTCTCTAACTTCTTGACGTGCTTGACCAGGTGTGGGTTCCAGACTGGTGCTGCATACTCCAGTATGGGCCTAACATACACAGTGTACAGTGTCTTGAACAATTCCTTATTAAGGTATCGGAACGCTATTCTCAGGTTTGCCAGGCGCCCGTATGCTGCAGCGGTTATTTGGTTGATGTGTGCCTCCGGTGATGCGCTCGGTGTTATGGTCACCCCAAGGTCTTTCTCCCTGAGTGAGGTCTGTAGTCTTTGTCCACCTAGCCTATACTCTGTCTGCGGTCTTCTTTGCCCCTCCCCAATCTTCATGACTTTGCATTTGGCTGGATTGAATTCGAGAAACCAGTTGCTGGACCACATGTCCAGCCTGTCCAGGTCTCTTTGCAGTCCTGCCTCATCTTCGTCCGATTTAATTCTTCTCATCAACTTCACGTCATCTGCGAACAGGGACACTTCAGAGTCTATTCCTTCCATCATGTCGTTCACATATATCAAAAATAGCACTGATCCTAGAACTGACCCCTGTGGGACCCCGCTCGTAACAGGCGCCCACTGTGATACCTCTTCACGTACCATGACTCGTTGCTGTGTGTGTGTGTGTGTGTGTGTGTGTGTGTGTGTGTGTGTGTGTGTGTGTGTGTGTGTGTGTGTGTGTGTGTGTGTGTGTGTGCGTGCAGGTGTGGGGTATGCAGGTGTGGGGTATGCAGGTGTGGGGTATGCAGGTGTGGGGTGTGCAGGTGTGGGGTGTGCAGGTGTGGGGTGTGCAGGTGTGGGCATACAGATGTGGGAATGGAGGTCTGGATGTGTCTTCTTGTTGGACCACAGTCTGTGAATGAAAACACCATCATCCATGTCTTCCTGTTGGACCACAGTCTGTGAATGAAGGCACCATCATCCATGCCTTCTTGTTGGACCACAGTCTGTGAATGAAGGCACCATCATCCATGTCTTCCTGTTGGACCACAGTCTGTGAATGAAGACACCATCATCCATGCCTTCTTGCTGGACCACAGTCTGTGAATGAAGGCACTATCATCCATGTCTTCCTGTTGGACCACAGTCTGTGAATGAAGGCACCATCATCCATGCCTTCTTGTTGGACCACAGTCTGTGAATGAAGACACCATTATCCATGTCTTCTTGTTGGACCACAGTTTGTGAATGAAGACACCATTATCCATGTCTTCTTGTTGGGCCACAGTCTGTGAATGAAGACACCATCATCCATGTCTTCTTGTTGGACTGTCTTCCCTCTGTCATTGTTTTTAGTGTGGAAAGACTGTGTTGCTATATACTGTCAGCTCTCTTAAAAAGCTTCTCCATAGAGTTAATTTTTTTTGTAAGTGCACTTGAATAGCATCTGAAAAAGGCCTTCAGAGTATGTGCTATTCAATTTTGGATGCACTTTTTCAGTTGCATTTGCAGTTACTTTCCATATATAAAATAACTTTGTAAGAACATAATACAAAAAAAAAATTAAATATTCATATGCTATACACTACCATGCAGTGAATCTTCAATTTAATATATTAATAGAGTAAAGGGTATCTGTTAAAACAAAATGATGAGATTGTTTTTTCATGATTGCAAGAATAGCAGGCAATTCTGAGTTCAAGGACTTTATCTATTAAATCTCAACTCAATTTACCCAGAGATCACCTCAATAATAAACAATTCTGGATTTAATAGACCTTGTTTCTGGATGTTTTCTTGCCACAGATTTTGCCTGTTGACTTGATGTGTGTTAAATTGAGGTTTTACTGTGTTGTAAAGTGTTTAAATTTTTGACCTTGAATTATTCATTTAGTTGATTGATGCTGGTTAACATTGTTTATAAATCAATGATGCTCTGGCTATTAGTATGTAAGCTGTTTCATGTTCATTTCTTCATTGCATATGGTTTGTGCGTGCTGCTAAATGGTGAACAAAATGCCCATACTGTACTTTGCCAACTTGGTACACATAATTACTCGTGAAAGCAATCCGAGAGTTTAGGTTTGCTCTAATACTAATTGTTTTAATCCAGATCTTTCTCATATAACAATGTCATGAATGAGAAAATGGGATACTATACCAAAATAACAAATTATGTGACGGTTCAGTTTTTCAGATAAAATGATAGTCCTCACTGGGTAAATATGCTAAATGATAAGTTTTTATTGTTTTAATCATATG